TTTTAATACAGTTTAACTCAAAAGCTACAGTATATCTTTACACTCTGACTCGACAATGTGTATCATAGGACAATTATTAGCAAAGTGAACCCTACTCTGATGAATAATGTAATCCCACTGGCCAAAAAGTTTTATGATGGGAAAAGCAAACAGTGATCCATTAGTAGCACCAAAGTGTTTTTGCTCTCCTCCAACCAAAAAGAGAAGTTGCATGGCCACATGCAGTATGTGAAGAATTCCATGCTGCCGAATTGTACTACTCAGTGCATTACTTTTATCCTGTCCAACTAGAAAAGAACAGGGAGGTTGAGGCACTGTAGTTTGTTACACTTTGTGAGATGGATTAAATGTAACTGACATCGTTATCAAAAGCATGGCAATCATCTGATCCCTGTATTTGAGGGAATTATGATTGTCCTTCATGTAGTATTAACTTGGAGTTGGTTGAAGTTAAGAAGCAACAAGAAAAGTTTTTCAAATGGAATCTGTATTCTTTCACACGATTGATCACAGAAAACGATTTTGGCAGATATGCTGTCAAAAACCTTCACTGTATGATTCCAAAGGCATCAAATTGGTATTGACTCAAAATTGACAATAATGAATCAATAATACAATTAATCAACCATATTCCATGACAACAATTAATGCGGAAACTACTGTTTATACTGCTATCTTTGATTGTATTTGACAGAAGATTACGAAGGGTTCACAGTGTTCTTTGGAAAGCTGACCCTCCTTGAAAGAGAGCAAAGATTAAGATAATTCTCGGAAAGTTGAACACAATTTTATGGTTCTGCAATTTAACTGTCAAACACGGTCTTGAATGCTGATGCCTCCATTCAGTGCATAGAACCGACATTCACAGGGCACGAAGTTCAAATTGATATTCTTTTCCTTGAACTGCGATTGACATTTATTAGTCTGTGTTTTGGGCTGGGCGTTTAGCAAATAAGAAACATTGTAAATATTCACTTCACTGCATGCTACTCAAACCAGAAACTTAATCTGACCTTTTTATCCCAACGCTTGGTAGTAATGAAATGCAGGAAAAAGAAAGTTCCCCTGTTGGTCTAAACATCTATTTCCTTATCTTTCCTCGCTCTTTAAATCAACTTTATTGTGAACAGAGAACTGCTCCAACATGAACATCAAGCCTCCCAAAGAAACACGGTACTGTATACAGTTGAGTATAATGATTAAACAACAGAGTTTAGACATGAAAACATTAGCTTGCGCAGTGCTCATGTGAAAAATATGACACTTGACCGTGTTTTTGATGTATTTATTTATGTATTTATTTATTTTTGTTCAGTACAGCATTTTCAATTTTAGGTCACTGTAATTTGTAATCCATTGGCACCAAGATAAAACAATCTTAACAGATTACGGTTTTATTTTGGCCATATAATTATCATGAAGGTGGCCAGGTGGTCCAGTGGTTAGCGCGTTCATCTGACAGTGCAGAGGTCATGGGTTCTGTCCCGGCTCCGGCCTTCCAGTGTGGAGTTTGCATGTTCTTCCCGGGCCTGCGTGGGTTTTCTCCGGGTACGCCGGTTTCCTCCCACTTTCCAAAAACATGCATGGCATGCTGATTGAAAATGAATGAATGAATTATTTACAATTTACATTCAATGAATATAGAGTCATGATAATTATCCATCCATCCATCCATTTTCCGAACCACTTTATCCTCACAAGGGTCGCGGGGGGTTGCTGGAGCCTATCCCAGCTGTCTTCGGGCGCAGGCGGGGGACACCCTGAATCGGGTGCCAGCCAATCGCAGGGCACACAGAGACAAACAACCATCCGCACTCACGCTCACACCTAGAGACAATTTGGAGCATTCAAACAGCCTGCCATGCATGTTTTTGGTGTGGGAGGAAACCGGAGGACCCAGAGAAACCCCACGCAGGCCCGGGGAGAACATGCAAACTCCACACAGGGAGGCTGGTGCTGGAATTGAACCCGGTACCCCTGCACTGTGAGGTCGATGCGCTAACCACTGGACTACCGGGCTGCCAATTGTAAATAATTCCCACTTGATTTATGTCTAAATTTAGCGCAATTGATGCATTTTATTGTTCATATTTCTGATTACTTTGGGTTGATGTCACTGTGCCCTGTTGCAAACCAAATCATTCTACAAAGGACAATTCCAATGAAGTGAAGTGAAAGATTGTTTCATCAAGTAACTTACCCGATGCATTTAAACTGCACATGCCCACCTTAATTACACGTTAAACTAAAGCGATGTGGTCTCTTGTCTCTTACTGTGAAGGAAATTTACATTTAATCCTAAAGAGGGAATAGACAACCCCCTGATGGTCATCACGGAAGGTACCTCGTCATGCAAGAGCTTCTCATCATCCACTGTCGACAAATGCATTAAAGCACCGTTCTCTTCACTTCACAGAATCGACACCCAGACCGCGTCTCTGTGTGCTTAAAAAGGAAGAAGGGGAGGCCTACGGCTTTCATTTGAGAGTGGAATGGGTGAAACAAGGACATATTATCAGAAATGTAGTTTCTGGGGGGATCGCGGGGCGCTGTGGACTCGAAGATGGAGACAGGCTTCTTGAAGTCAACAACGTTTATGTCGAGGATGCTCCTCACCAGGAGGTAAACCAGTTGAGTCATCCATTTATTCTCTCCGCATTTTCTTTTATATCCGGGAGAAGGTTCTTGTCTGTGGATGTCTTTCAGCTGAAATAAGAGTCATTTTGCATCAGGTGGCCAGGAGAATAAAGCTCAGTGGACATCACTTGTGCTTATTGGTTCTGGACGGGGACGCATATGAAAAGGCAACCGCCAAGGGTCATGACCTCCGTGATCTTGTCAAAGCATATAAGGGTGAAGACTTGAAGCCACCTAGACTGTGTCACATCACCAGGGATCCTGTCTTGGGTCTGGGCATGAAATTCACACCTGTTGGAGGTAACACCACTTGTGGCACTCACGTGTTGAAAGACTGCGCAGGATTTTTCAGTTTTGTCCATTTTGCCACATAGCTGAAAAGGGTTGCTTCTCTGTCAGCCTGGTGCCTGGAGGGGCAGCTGAAAAGGCCGGCGTACTCAAGGGGGACCGACTGGTGTGGATGAATGGAGCCGTGGCTTCAGATCTCACACACTCTGCACTCAGCAGAATGGTATAAACAGCTCGCTTAATACATAAAGATCAAGCATTTGCACAGCGATGGAATATCTATGAGCGTATTTCCTTCTGTGAAATGTTATGCCAGGACTTCACACTCAGCCACCTCTGTTGCTGCTTGTTGGTAGAATTGCCTGCCTTCCTTATTGTCTTCAGTCAACAGTCTTGCTCTGTTTTGTTCAGATCGTGTCACTGAGTTGGCCAAACAGGAAGTTTATTTGTCTTATTAAATTACATCTCAGACAAGCTGGCTACGGATCCGAAGATTGTTTTTATTTTGTTTTGAGTTTTGGATTTTCTGTTCTTGAAATTTGCCTGTGATTTGCAGCAGTTTGAAAATCCACAGTATTTACAATTTTTAAGGCATCACCGAATTGTACATCATGATCATAATTGACCGACTGCAGAGTATTCTTGAGATGTTGATGCTGTGTATTTTTTTTCAAGAATCGATTTACAAGAAAATAATTTTATTATTGGCGGTACGGCGGCCGACTGGTTAGCACGTCCCCTACACAGTGCAGGGGTCAGGCATTCAATTTTGGCCCCAGCCTTCCTGTGTGGAGTTTGCATGTTCTCCCAGGGTCTGCGTGGGTTTTCTCTGGGTACTCCGGTTTACCCCCACATTCCAAAAACATGCATGGGAGGTTAAATTGCCCCACACCCGTGACCCTCATGAGGATAAGTGGATAAGATAATGAATGGATAATTTTGTTATCTTCCGTTTTCGTGGCCTTCTGTGGAGATTAAGATTTGGGAATTGGCCAAAATCAGTCACCAGATCTCAACCCAATAGAACATGCTCGTAAGGTACGGACTATAAATGTGAAAGCCGAAATTGGATGCGGCTGTGGTGAAGGTCTGGCCAAACATCTGCAGGGGAGAAAATCTGAATTTCGTGATGAGTATTGTCTCCAGATCTCTGGCAGTCATTGATTGCAAAGTCATTTCATGCAAGAATGTGGCTTTGTTGAAACACTTTTGAGTGCCTGAAAATAGACATACTCAGTTTAAAATGGATTTGATTCCTAAATAGTTTAATTCAAACCATATGTACAATTTTGTTGCAGATGAAAAAATGCGGCAAATACATCACCATCCTAGTGATCGACAGCAAGAGTGAGAAGAAGTACACTCAACTAAAAATGCCCATACTCCCTACTATGGCGGTTCCACACCATCTGCCTTATAGATCGAAAAAACTCGAGTTGGATTTGGCGCCTGAAGGTTACGGTTTCCTCCTTCGCTTCGAGAAGGCCCCTTCAGGACGTACAGGTGGGTGCTCAAAGTGTGTCCATCACCTGTATTGCATTTTGGTTTGAAATGTGTCTCCGTACGCGACAGCTCATGTGCTGCGTAAGGTGGACACTGGCAGTCCGGCAGAGAGGGCTGGGATCCGAGATGGCGATGTACTGCTGGAGGTGAACGGAGAGTCTGTGGAGTTGCTACAGCATGACGAGATTGTGACAAGAGTGAGAGAGAGTGGCCGACATATCTCACTGACCACAGTTATTCCGCAGGGCCATGAGTTTTACACACAGGTTGGTTTCCTTTTGCATTCCATATTTTATTTTTGGGGTGTGGTGAATACAACCACAGCATCTGTGAATTTCATCTTACAATATCAGTGAAGCTCTATACTTGATCTAATGCCTTTACAGTGCCACAGCATCTGTGAATTTCATCTTAGAATATCAGAGTGAAGCTCTATACTTGATCTAATGCCTTTACAGTTAGGTCTGTCACCTCTCATCTTCTGTGAGGATGATGCTATTCAAATGGAAAGCAGAGAACCAGTTCCCGCATCACAACATTGCCTGCAAACTGGAGGTTCATCTAAGACCAGGCTCTGTTCTCTTCAAAAAGGCTCCTTGGGGTATGGCTTCAACTTTGGCTGTAGACCACAGTGTCCTGGGACCTTCATCAGTCAAGTAGGGTTGAATATCATCTTTCAATTACACTGCATGAAGGTAACATTTTTTTTTCTCTTGGTCAGGTGGCCCCGGGAAGCCCGGGGAAGAAAGCAGGACTAAGAATGGGTGATATAGTGATAGAAGTAAATGGACAAAATGTGGAGGACCAATACTTAGAAGACGTAATTATGCTTGTGAAGGAAGGAGGGCCTTGCCTTTCCTTACTCGTTAAGGATAAGGAGGGCTATGACGACTTGAAAAAGAGCGAAGAACTTTCTTCCACCGCCAGTGAGGTGACAAAATATTTCACAGCACAATTAAACAAGCATTTAACAATGATTACGTGTATAACATTTTCCTTCCATTTCTGGCTCATTCTCAACAGGGCGAAGAAACAGAAGTCTCACGTTTGTGAAATGACTTCAATCGGCATGACAACAAACACTCCATGCTGTGCACCTTCTGATGGGACTTCCTCAACTCCAATTTTTTAACAGTGTTAATATTAACTGGGTGACCCATTTGAATAGCCTTATATGCATGGCGCGTAAAATATCCAAATCATACAAATATTCTCTCCATTTTACCGCGTCACACATAATGTGCCTGTATGCAGCCAAATGTGTTACTTGGATAATTCACGATTTTTTTTAACTCACGTTTTTTTTTTTTCTGTATTCCAGGACTGAAATGAACACCTTTGTCAAAACATAAATGAAAAAAATGCACAACATTAAATTATTGAGAGATTTAATTGAATTTCGTTTCACAGAATCACCCGATTAAAACATCTAGTAATATGCAGACTGGTGTCAACAGCTATCCATGATGATCTTCAGCTACTGATAACCACACAAAATATAATCTGCAACAACTGCATTACAATCAGTGGCTGACTACAAAAACACCATAAATGAAAAAAAAAATCCTGCCTTCACAGATGATTTCAGCAGTTTAAAAAAGTACACATTATGGCTGGTTAGATAATTAATCTTTATCTCCACTTTGGCCCCAATTAAGTAAATTCACCTAATGCACACCTAGCTACCAAAAACGATTGTATAATGGTCTTTATGACAAGGAAGGAAGACCGTACTGTTTCAAACTCGTGAAATATGAAACATAATGATGTTACCCGCTTACAGAATTAGCTCATCGTGCAGATGTTGGATAACAGGATATTTGCTGTCATGGCTGCAGCAACTTTGATTGAAGTCATCCAGGTCCAGGGACAGGACAAAGACTCCTCCAAACTGGTATTTTTTTATGTAATCAACCTTCGGAGCCAAGGGAAAAATGTTAACTGTACATTGTGCGCTTTCATATTATCAACTTGATAAACCACATTTTCCTGACTCCGTTTGAGGGGTTTGCCTTTGATTGAGTTGGACTACCTTTGCATCGATAGAAGCGATGTCATCAAAGACAACCTGCGTTGTTGTTGAAGCCCCAAGAAGCCCTTGCAGGAAAGAGCACACCTGAAAGGAAGACCCACATTTTGAAATACCGCATTGTCATCTGTTCAAACAGAAGGTGCCGCTGTTCATATTTTACCTCATAACGGGCTAAGAATCCTTCCGGTAAATCAGCTAAATTGCCTCCCACCACGTGAACAGTGCCCAGAATGTCAATCATAAACGATTCTCCAAATACCCCAATTCCCATGTTAATCTTATGGGCAGGTACTCCCAATTTATGCCAGACGTTCACTGCAAAAGCCTGAGGAAAAAGGCATGGTGGAAAATAGTTAGGGCCAAGAAAACAGAGATGGTGTTCAAACCAAATAAATCATGATGCATGGATTGATTTAGGTCAGAGGTCGGCAACCCAAAATGTTGAAAGAGCCATATTGGACCAAAATAAACAAAAAACAAATATGTCTGGAGCCGCAAAAAATAAAAAGCCTTATAATGAAGCCAACACATGCTGTATGTATCTATATGAGCTATATTAGCCTGTTATCAACATGACTATCAACAAGTTGGCTACAAATACACAACGAGCATTCATGTTTAGAGTTTTTTTTTTCCCCTGCAGTTCATCCTGTAGAGGAGGGGTGCCCAAACTTTTTTGACGGAAGATCTACTTTTGGAACAACGAACCTCCCGCGATCGACCCGTTACCACACACACGCGCCTATGTACACATATGCCGTAATGAGCAACAGCCATAACGGCCGCTAAGATGAACGAGGGACGCACTTTCACAACGGGCTAACTATCGTAGCTCACATTTACCGTTTAAAAATGCTTCTCTTGGCCGCCCAGATTCCCATTTTTAGCAAGTACCCTCAGTGAATTGTACACGAAAGGCAGCTTTTTTTTTTTTTTTTTTTTTACAACACCCCCCTGACTGACATCCCCCCCTGCAAATAGAAACGTGTGTCGCAGGCTATGACGCAAATATTCGTTGATGAAATGTTGACATTTAATTTTTATTTGACACATTTTTACAGCATCAGAAAACGTTAATAATGTTTGTGTCATGTTTGTCGTCTGACAGAAACCATATTAAAACAAAAATATATATTTCCCTCCCATCTTTTTCCATTTTCAAACATTTTTGAAAAAGCTCTAGGGAGCCACTAGGGGGGGGGGGGCGCTAAAGTGCCACATGCGGCTCGAAAGCCGCAGGTTGCCGACCCCCGAGTTAGCTAAAGAGGGGGCTTGCGCTGGTTGTTACTTACCGCCTCACTGAATGATTTGGCCGGAGTGGCGAAAGATGGTTGGCCTTTTTGAAAGATGATTTCAATATCGGACGTCATCACGTTGAAGAAGTCGACGTGGCTGATAAAACACAGAAGACTTACCGCGCGGCAAAACATGACAAGGGCGCATTGTTGAAAAATGTTTGAAAATGTGGATTTACTCTGCAATGTGTTCGACCTCGTAGCTCTGATGAATGACAAATGGCTGAGCAGAGACACTCATAGTGAGCAGGAGTTTTTCAGATCCATTTTGGGCCGCCTCGGCTATAAAAGCTTCGTGCAATTCCTATACAAACAAAAAGGCTTTGTGAGGCGGAAACACATGTTTCTCTGACAGTGTCCTCAGTAGATGGGAATTTCAGGATCATACCTGGATGAGCTTTGTGTACTGTTCCTTGATTTCTATTAAAGTCTCCGTTTTAGCCTGCCACAAGATGTTTATCCCATCAAACATGTAAGCAGGTTCTCTCAGAACGGAGATTACAGACTGGATAAAGGTCTTCCTATTTTCTTGCGTGGCTATCAGTTGATGCAAACTGATGAACACAAGGAAAAGCACAGCGGCAAAACAAAATAAGTTGGGTGCAGACGAAGGGAGGGATGCAACTTTCCAGTCTTGCAATGATGACTTCAGTCATAGTAACTACAGTATGGCTACATCGTCCACCTTTACTTACAATGGATATTCCATCAGGTTGACCTCCAGAAGGATCTTCAGATCTGGATTACTGGTGGACCAAACATGTTTGCTTGTTTATTACTCAACATATTATCCAGTGGGGGGTAAAAAAAAAGACAAATTGAAATGCACAAGGTCTAACCTGGTCTTCAGATTCTTGAAGTGTGGGAATTTTGTTTTGTCACTCGAGTTTGGGGAAATGTTAAAACTCGAATCGATGGTGACAAAACTATAGATCAGATGGGTACACAGATGTGGTTGGATGTCATCAATTGTGAAATTTCCAACCCCCCATCTTTGGTCTGAGACGCTGTTATAGACACACACCAGTCGTTCGGTTGAGCCTGAAAAATTGTAAAAATCAAATGGCATGTAAATAGCGAATAATATCCACACTATTTAGACCTTGCAAATTTTCCTCACTAGATCTACGAACCATTGCAAGACAAAAAACTTACCCAACCAAGCAGTGGCCAGCAAGAGACCTGCAAATTGACATACCTTGTCAGAAATGTTCAAACTTCAAATGCAACGTGTTAATCTGACAATCACTGTTAAAAAAAACAAAAACTGATTTATCATGTATTTGTGCACCTTACCTGCAAATAGAATTGTCTTGTGCATTCTGTTTGCTATAAAGTTACAAAAAGAAGAATTAGAGGTCGTGGGATGCAAGATTTTACTTTGACTTGCCTTTTAGAATTGATCAAATAGTTGAATCAAGATTTTTTTTTCACCTTTTTTCTTATTTTTGGTGAGAAAGATTGAATCAGTGACCAAAGAATATCTGGAATGATTGGAGAAAACAGAGAAATCAAGAGCACAATTCCTTCCATCAATCCATTTCCCATTACCGGGGACAGCTGAGCTAGAGCCATCCCAGGTACCTTTGAGCAAGAGGCGGCTTCCAAAAAAAAATAAAAATAAGGATTTCATTGAATAGCTTTTTCAAATTACTAAATCAAGAATACTCAACAAATAAACATATCTACTTACCAACGCAAAGACAGCTTCGAGTACCTCTCTATGCTGACGGGTGAGCGATGAAGAGATGGTCTCATTTATATGGTTGAAAAAGGCGTGTCATTCTCTTCGGAAACTTGCCCTTCTTTATTCAATCTTCTTATTGTGCCTTCATTATCAAAACTGATTCTAATAGCCCAAAAATGACGAGTCAAAAAAAAAACAACCCCAAAAACTGTTGCAATCAACACAGCAGAGCGCCTGAGAGCTGAACATGTTGCACCCCTCAATGAAAGTTCAAGTTCAGCCTACAATGGCTTTTGGAGAGTCTCTTTAAATTTGACTGAAGGGTTTGGACAAAGCTTTTCGCAACACTTGTTACCTTACACGTCACCACTTATTGATAAAGCAGTGAATCATTACAGTTCAGGTTGCGGCTTCTTTATTTATGAATTCTAGTCACCACTTATTGATAAAGCAGTGAATCATTACAGTTCAGGTTGCGGCTTCTTTATTTATGAATTCTAGTCACCACTTATTGATAAAGCAGTGAATCATTACAGTTCAGGTTGCGGCTTCTTTATTTATGAATTCTATTGTTCATTAACCAGTCCGGTTTGGTGATTTGGCCATTGCCGTATGGAGCATCTGAGCTGAACTCAATTCAGTCCAAATTAACTTAATTTATAGAGCAGAGTCTGCAATCTGTAGCCCTTGATTATGTGGAAATGTTTGTCATGTAAACATTGCATCGAGCATTGGAATGACCCGGATTGGTCATAAATGTGATCTCATTATCATCCACGTCACAGCAATAGTGACTTTCCTCAAATTCCTGAACTAATGACATGCAAACAATGGATTTAAAAACTGGCTGAGTCCATTTTGGTAGTGCAGCAAAAACCTCAACTCAATGTTTGCTGTAGTTGCAAATCAGATCTGCATAACGGTCAGGAGATTTGACCTTTTCATAATTCATCAATATTCTTGGGCTGTGTTGTGTGATTGTCTTTCTTGAGGTCATCCCACAGTATCTCAATTGGGTTGAGGTCTGGACTCTGACTGGGCCACTTCAGATGGCAATTTTTGTTGTTGTTGAAGCCATTCAGTTGTTGATTATCTTCTGTCTTTTGGGTTACTGTCCTGTTTCAAGCTTCAATTGCTCGACAGATAGTCTTGGCATCTTTCACATTATCCATAAGAGCCTGTCATGTACCAATGATAACCTGTAACCTGATAACACGATAAGATGTCCACTGTCGTAACCGCTGTCCCTGAAAGGGTTAAAGACAATTTCATTGTCTTCCTCAGTAGATGAGTGTAAAAACACTGACTAAAAAATGAAATATTTTGTCATTTTTATCGCCCAGCGTATATTACAGTAAACATCTTCACTTACCAATATGGAAGGAGCCTTGAATCAAGGAAATAATGTCAACTGCTGTGTAGAATTTTCTTTTTCCTGAATCAGCCGCCATCTTAAAAAGCTTGCAAAATTGCCGAAGGCACCCTTTATTTTGACTCAGGCAAAATAAAACTGCCAAAGTCACACTCTTGACATAGGCAACTACATTAAATTGGTTAGAATGGCACAATCTGTTTAACTCAGGTTAGCGGCAAATCAATAGGCAGTCATAGCATGAAAAAAAAAAAATTGTACAAAAATGACTGGCAATTATTTTAAGAGGGTGATGATCCGAATGAACAGTTTGTACAGTACAAAAACAAAGTTTTGATTGTTCCAGCAATGTGATCATTGCTCATTAAATAATTCTGAAGGGCATAATCAGAAAACACACCCTGGATTTTATTGTAAGGTAACCTTTCCCTTCTCACAACATGTGGTGACTGTCTACTAGTTTAGGTAAAAATGCCATTGTATTGTTGAACTTGCCCTAGTTTTACTGCAGATAGCGCAGGTTCAGTTCAGGGACATTCAGGCAGGGCCTACTGTCGCCTGATTGCAGAAACAAATGAGTGAAAAGTAAAAAGACCAACCGAATGATTTTTACATTATTTTTTATTTTAGTTCGCTGGTGCTTTATACGTAATTTTGGTTTTCAATTCAATCATTTATTTCTTCAATAAAATAGCTGAATTTCCAATATACTGTATTAGAGAGAAAGGGGATAGACGTGTCTCAAGTGACGACACACATTAACTGATACAGGCAGTTATCGTGTGCGGTTCTGTCTGTTTTGATTGTGTTTCAACTCCAGCTGGAGTGAAGGACGGTTCCCTCCCTCTCGCGTTACCCCATCAAGCCTTGCCAAATATTTAAGTCTCTGTCAGATTATGATGTTTCCAAGTTTCCAAGTTTATTATCCAGGACTCAACTAACAGCAGATGTCTGTGGCAGGGCATCCAATCCATGATGACATGGCTGCCCTCATCCCCCTGTAAGGACAACGTCAGCTTCCCCAATGAACTAATACGTTTTTTGGATGAAACATCAATCCTACTTTGTACATGCGTACCAAAAATTGTTGGAAGTAATTGTAATGGAAGTGTTTTAACCCGAGGCTTTGTCGTCCTCATGCGCTGCAGAGCACGCCTTCCGTCAATAATGAGCATCTCGGTAATTATTCTATCCATCCATTTTCGAATCTTCTTATCCTCACGAGTGTCGGGGACGTGCTGGCGCCTATCCCAGCTGTCATCGGGCAGTAGGCGGAGGACACCCTGAACTGGTTGCCAGCCAATCGCAGTAATTATTTTACATTTTGCATTTTAAATATAAAAATTAAGTGAAACAAATGTGGGAACCACGAGAGGGAGGTTTCATCACTCTCTAAGAGGCGGAAATAGCCCCCCCTAAAAAAAATAAAAACCTACTTCATGGATTTCACCCGGGTAATTTTTGGAACATAACACCCGTGATAAATGAGGGACCAATGTGGGCAAACCTGTGCATTTATCACAGGGTAATCAGGTGATTTTTAGGCAACGCTGCTGAACATTGCCAGATTACAACCCTGCCACCTTATGGCCATATGCAGAATACACAAGGCATATTTGAAATATAATACTGACTGTACTGCATAGGTAAAAGCAAAGGTGTAAAACATATTTTCGTCAGGGTCACATTTTGCATGATCACATCCCATAGGTCTGTTTTGCACTCCTCTCAGAAAAATTAGCTGTGGCTTGTTAAAAATGGGGTTTCCACATCTATTTTTAGATATGATGCATCGGGTAACCTCATCTGTTACCCCATTTTCAGTTTGATTATTTTCATGCAGTATTTCTATGTTAAATGCACGGGTCGGCGGGATAACTCATGTATGTTGACTGCCCAAAAAGTGTTGAAACCTAGGTGACATATTCATATCAACCGATAACAAATAATTTGGAGGGGTTTAGGTGGACATGCAGACGAAAATCCATCCAGTTAAACATGCTAACATTTGTGTCACCAAACCTTGAATGGGGAGCGGGAGATGCAGGACCAGGAAAAAAACAGCCATCCCTGCCAGTGACGGTGTGTGTCAACTTTAATTGGCTCTATTAATTAAAACTTATTATTTATGTATTAATCTATGTAATTAATTAACTATAATGATTACTCGGCTTGTGAAATGGAACACTTTCAAGTTGTCTATCATCTTTATAATTCGGTTCATATTGTAAGGTCTTACGATCTCAGCTTCATTCTTTTTGTTCAAAACTGATCACAGGCCATTCCATTGTTTTGAATTAGAAAGAAGACGAGACTTTTACACGCATTTTAAAGCCTGTTAAATGGCATACCTTCCTTAGTTCTTAACTCGTTAACAAATTTAAAACGCCTTTTTGTTCTTTGATTCCAACTCTTTCTGGTGACATTGGTGTTGCTGGAAAAAAGTAAAATATTTTAATTGTCAGTACCTAAAGCATGGTCGTTATGGAAATACCTACTCACAGATTTAGCATGTTTGAAAGAACTTCGGCGATATGATTCAATTCAGATTCACATTCAGAAAACTTTATTTATCCCCATGGGGCAATTAGAGGTTGATTCAATTGATTTGTACGGTACAAAGAGTATTTACTTAATTAAATTTGGGCAACGACTTGACTTAGCATGCATGTTGCAAATTAACCACAAATCTAAAATTATTAGACACTTAGTGGAACATTCATTAAAGAAAACAATACATACAGTGTATGAAAAAGACTTGTCGGACATTCGGGACTAAATAAAGCTAGGCGCGTAAAAAAACGTCACGTGACGCCGGCACTCATGATGCTCGCCTCTGAATCAAACACGAACGGTGACATTCGTTGGTGTTTAGGTTTTATGACGATTCTGGTGACGACCGTATAAAATACCAACACCTTAGCCCAGGATGGGGTAAAAGGACACTTTCGCCTACCTTGTCAGGAGGAGGAAAACCAGACTCATAATTTCAACTATTGGAAGAGCGTTCGGCTGTAAGGACATTTCAAGCTTTAACAACCTTTTATGAAAATGTATATTTTGATACACAGTACACGCAATAAAATTTAAGACGTACAATAATCATGATTAATTGATAAGTGAAGTGGATTTTCACAAAATGGGAAAAAATCAATTTCAATAATGTCAAGTTTTGTCAACAAAACATAAAAGTACGTTATATGGACTAGTGTATAGACAAAACGTGTAATTTTTAAGGTGTGCCAGCTTAAGATATACAGTACACACTTGACATTCCTCAAAAGACTTGCCTATTTTTCATACACTACATAAAAATGATATATTCAATTCAAACGTTTGACTTTTACTGGACAAACTTGTAAAGTTCACAGGATGGATAAATTCAGTAAAACATTATTTGTAACACATCTTTATGTTTTAAAACTGCACACCCACAAAATTATCTTCTCGTATCTTTAAAGATTGTTTCTTTGCCTTTGTAAACAAATCTACTTTATGTACTCAATCTTACATGTATGGAACATAAAAGTTAAATAAAAATTGTAAATTCTGAAAGTTAAATTCATCAGAACTATTTTAAACATTGATTCTGATTCTTTCACAAATCACTAAAGGGGAGTCCACGAACCACTCGTGGTAGAGCAGCATATTTTGAGTATCATTGCTTTGGCCTTCGACTCTGAAGAGTCTGCTGTTGTGGGTAATGACTAAGTGAAACATATTGATGGTGAAGTTCGCTGTTTTGTGTGGGTTGCCTTTTTAAAAGAAGGGCAAGTGTAAAATACTTTTGTTCTTCTCTTTTTCTTCTAAGGTGCAAAAATGCAAATCTTTGTGAAGACCCTAACTGGCAAGACCATCACCCTTGAGGTTGAAGGCAGTGACACTGTTGAGAATGTTAAAGCCAAAATCCAGGACAAGGAAGGTATTCCTCCTGATCAGCAAAGGTTGATCTTTGCTGGCAAACAGTTGGAAGATGGCCGCACCCTCTCTGACTACAACATCCAGAAAGAGTCCACCCTCCATCTTGTCCTGCGTCTGAGAGGTGGAATGCAGATCTTTGTAAAGACCCTAACTGGCAAGACTGTCACTCTTGAGGTTGAGGGGAGTGATACTGTTGAGAATATGAAGGCCAAAATCCAGTACAAGGAAGGCATTCCACCTGACCAACAGAGGTTGATATTCGCTGGCAAACAATTGGAAGATGGCCGCACCCTCTCTGACTACAACATCCAGAAGGAGTCCACCCTCCATCTTGTCTTGCGTCTGCGAGGTGGCATGCAGATCTTTGTGAAGACCCTCACTGGCAAAACCATCACCCTTGAGGTTGAGGACAGTGACACTGTTGAAAATGTCAAGGTGAAAATTCAGGACAAAGAAGGCATTCCTCCTGACCAGCAGAGGTTGATATTTGCTGGCAAACAACTGGAAGATGGCCGCACCCTCTCTGACTACAACATCCAGAAAGAGTCCACCCTCCATCTTGTCCTGCGTCTGCGAGGTGGCATGCAGATCTTTGTAAAGACCCTAACTGGCAAGACCGTCACTCTTGAGGTTGAGGGGAGTGACACAGTTGAGAATGTGAAGGCCAAAATCCAGGACAAAGAAGGCATTCCTCCTGACCAACAGAGGTTGATATTTGCTGGCAAACAACTGGAAGATGGCCGCTCCCTCTCTGACTACAACATCCAGAAGGAGTCCACCCTCCATCTTGTCTTGCGTCTGCGAGGTGGCATGCAGATCTTTGTAAAGACCCTAACTGGCAAGACCGTCACTCTTGAGGTTGAGGGGAGTGACACAGTTGAGAATGTGAAGGCCAAAATCCAGGACAAAGAAGGCATTCCTCCTGACCAACAGAGGTTGATATTTGCTGGCAAACAACTGGAAGATGGCCGCACCCTCTCCGACTACAACATTCAGAAGGAGTCCACCCTCCATCTTGTCTTGCGTCTGCGAGGTGGCATGCAAATATTTGTGAAGACCCTCACTGGCAAAACTATCACCCTAGAGGTTGAGGACAGTGACACTGTGGAAAATGTGAAGGTCAAAATTCAGGACAAAGAAGGCATTCCTCCTGACCAACAGAGGTTGATATTTGCTGGCAAACAACTCGAAGATGGCCGCACCCTCTCTGACTACAACATCCAGAAGGAGTCCACCCTCCATCTTGTCTTGCGTCTGCGAGGTGGCATGCAAATATTTGTGAAGACCCTAACTGGCAAGACTGTCACTCTTGAGGTTGAGGGGAGTGATACTGTTGAGAACGTGAAGGCCAAAATTCAGGACAAAGAAGGCATTCCTCCTGACCAACAGAGGTTGATATTTGCTGGCAAACAACTGGAAGATGGACGGACCCTCTCTGACTACAACATCCAGAAGGAGTCCACCCTCCATCTTGTCCTGCGTCTGCGAGGTGGCATGCAGATATTTGTGAAAACCCTTACTGGCAAGACCATCACCCTTGAAGTTGAGGGAAGTGACACTGTTGAGAATGTGAAGGCCAAAATCCAGGACAAGGAAGGCATTCCTCCTGACCAACAGAGGTTGATATTTGCTGGCAAACAACTGGAAGATGGCCGCACTCTCTCTGACTACAACATCCAGAAGGAATCCACCCTCCATCTTGTCCTGCGTCTGCGAGGTGGCATGCAGATCTTTGTAAAGACCCTCACTGGCAAGACCATCACCCTTGAGGTCGAGGGCAGTGACACTGTTGAGAATGTGAAGGCTAAAATCCAGGACAAGGAAGGCATTCCCCCTGATCAGCAGAGGTTGATCTTTGCTGGTAAGCAATTAGAAGATGGACGCACCTTATCTGACTACAACATCCAAAAAGAGTCTACCCTTCATCTTGTCCTGCGTCTGCGAGGTGGCATGCAGATATTTGTGAAGACCCTTACCGGCAAGCCCGTCACCCTTGAGGTCGAGACTAGTGACACTGTTGAGAATGTCAAGGCCCAAATCCAAGACAAGGAAGGCATTCCCCCAGACCAGCAGAGGTTGATATTTGCCGGCAAGCCACTGGAAGATGACCAAACCCTCTCTGATTACAACATCCAGAAGGAGTCCACCCTCCACCATGTCCTGCGTTTGAGAGGTGGCATGCAGATCTTTGTGAAAACCCTAACTGGCAAGACAATCACTCTTGAGGTCGAGGGCAGTGATACTGTTGAGAATGTCAAAGCCAAAATCAAAGACAAGGAAGGTATTCCGCCTCATCACCAGAGGCTGATCTTTGCTGGCAAACAGCTGGGATGTGATCGCACCCTCTCTGACTACAACATCCAAAAGGAAGCTACTCTTCATCTTGTCCTGCGTTTGAGAGGTGGCATGCAGTTGTTTGTGAAGACCCTCACTGGCAAGACCATCACCCTTGAGGTTGAAGCCAATGATACAGTTGAGAATGTCAAGGCTAAAATCCAGGACAAGGAAGGTATTCCCCCTGACCAACAAAGGCTGATCTTTGCTGGAAAGCAGCTAGAAGATGGCCGTACCCTCTCTGATTACAACATCCAAAAGGAGGCTACGCTTCATCTCGTCCTGCGTCTACGAGGTGGCATGCAGATTTTTGTGAAGACCCTTACTGGTAAGACCATCACTCTTGAGGTTGAGGACAGTGACACGGTTGAGAATGTGAAAGCCAAAATCCAGGACAAGGAAGGAATTCCCCCTGATCAACAGAGGTTGATATTTGCTGGCAAACAATTAGAAGATGGCCGCACACTCTCTGATTACAACATCCAGAAAGAATCAACCCTCCATCTTGTCCTGCGTCTGCGAGGTGGGCTCTAGAGCAATTCAGGATTCCGTGCTTAAATCTCTGAAGTTAACATGTTATGTATGACTTGCTAAATGTGATTGAATAAAAGATTAAACCCAACAAAGGTTCCGTTACAATTTGTTGTGGGGGATTTTGAGATTTGCGTTTTCTGATTACTAGTTGGTGTGTTTGCAACGGGAAGGCCCATGCTTTCACCAATCGGGGATTTTAACATTGAGAAAAAAAATATTGCAATTAAAATGTCTAAAATTAAATATATTAAAATGGTGTATTTAACATATTTTTTTATGCACAGCAACTCCATTTTGTATGGTGTCTGCTGCTGTAGGCTTAATTTGTAGTCATGAAAATACTCTTGAGAATTCAGTATTGCACAGAATGCATACTCGAGTTGCTTATATTTATGCTTGAGAATGAGAACCAAGGCAAATTTCCTTACTATTCTGACTTTACTGGCAGCTTCATCTGGCCTGAAAGCTTAAGTGCTTTAAGTTTCATCTGGCCATCACAACTACGGGGCAGTAGCTCTAACAAGCTAACTGCTGCCAATACAGTTTAATGATTCCACAAGAATGAAGTGTAAGTAAAGTAGGACCAAAGCAAACCATGAACAATGTAAGAAATATTTAATATGAAATCACATCGACAAGTTTTTGTAACCTTGCATGGAATAATGAATTCCATCCATCCAGCCATTCATTTTCCGATCCACTTATCCTCAAGGGTCGAGAGAGGTGCTGGAGCCTATCCCGGCTGTCTTCGGGCAGTAGGCGGGGGACACCCTGAACCGGTTGCCAGCCAATTACAAGGAATAAGGATTTTAGTTTTAAAAATGTTTTAATAATTTTGTTTTCATTTCATCGCAGTTTATGAATGTCAATTTCAAACATGAAAACTGTCATTAAAATATGAATGGCATACAAATTTAATATATATATATTTTTTCATAAAGCGAGTGTAGGTGTAATCTGAGCTGGTTTTGATCATGACGTTCCTCATACTGTATATTTAAAATTATTTGAGAATTACTGATTTTTTTTATCGTATCAAAACGACTGGTGGCAGAAAGTTATCAATAGACATTTTTATTGATCACTAATATTTTTGCCCTTGTACGTAAGACACGGGCAATTATGTACAGGCAGTTGTTTGGGCAGCTCTTGATACGGGTCCTTTTGCTGGAGGTGACATTCAGCCGGCTAGCAGCAGACGATCGAACAGCGTCGATTACCGTCTCAAAATGGCACAAGCAGTGCAAAAGCTGGTCGCCAAAGTGCCAAGTATGGTTGGCGGTAAGTTTTGTGTGTGTGTATTTGTTTTGTTGCAGTTCTATAATGCTTGTCCAGTTAGGACTCGCTATTTCTTTTTTGGTTCCACTATGTCAGTTGAGTTACCATGACCTATACTGACTGGTTGCTAACTGAATAAAATAAATAGTCGTAGCTATTGCGAGTTGGCGCAATTTGTCGTTGCCACAACGTGTATTGATTATGATTAAATAGCTAACTGCGGGTTGGTTAGTGGTTGGTTGCTGAGGGATCGTTTTTTTTTTTTTTTTTGTCGGAAGCTCGGCGCTAACGTTAGCATTAGCTGTCATTATTTTGGCTGAGCGTGTGTCCTCATCTCTCAGCCGCTGTCACCTACTCCAAACCTCGGCTAGCAACCTTCTGGCATTACGCCCGCGTTGAACTTGTCCCACCTAGTCCAGCCGAGATCCCCAAGGCCATCGAGGGGGCATCCAACATCATCAAGGGTTTCCAGACGGGACGCCTTGGACAAACAACAGTCAAGGTGCGTTGACGTGGTTTCACAGACGCTTGATGATGCTTTTTCCAAACGCTATTTAAAATGAGTGAGAACAATACGAAAATACTTGTTAGTTGGTTTTTTTTAATCAGCAAAACAACCTACACGATCCTGACGCTTGCACAATTTGAGATGCTATGCAAGAGCTGCATCACTTTTCACAACTATAACAATGCAAAGTCTCACGGACACTGTCGAGCGGTGCTGTGTAAGATTATTTTACTGCATGGGTCCACAACCGCGGACTGATCGTATTTGGAGGAAACAAGGCGCAGCTTATTACCTGGGCACTACCATCCCTACAGGGATGCAAAACACTCCCATAACATGATGCTGTGGGATGGTTTTCAGTAGCAGGACCTGGCAGATTAGTCAATATTGAGGGAAAGATATATTTTTTAAATAAATGTGCAAATCTATTATTTCAATAACTATTTACGGGGTTTGGTTTTGGTTGGTTTGCTGGGGGTTCTTTTTTTTTTTTTTTTTTGTCGGAAGCTCGGCGCTAACGTTAGCATTAGCTGTCATTATTTTGGCTGATCGTGTGTCCTCATCTCTCAGCCGCTGTCACCTACTCCAAACCTCGGCTAGCAACCTTCTGGCATTACGCCCGCGTTGAACTTGTCCCACCTAGTCCAGCCGAGATCCCCAAGGCCATCGAGGGGGCATCCAACATCATCAAGGGTTTCCAGACGGGACGCCTTGGACAAACAACAGTCAAGGTGCGTTGACGTGGTTTCACAGACGCTTGATGATGCTTTTTCCAAACGCTATTTAAAATGAGTGAGAACAATACGAAAATACTTGTTAGTTGGTTTTTTTTAATCAGCAAAACAACCTACACGATCCTGACGCTTGCACAATTTGAGATGCTATGCAAGAGCTGCATCACTTTTCACAACTATAACAATGCAAAGTCTCACGGACACTGTCGAGCGGTGCTGTGTAAGATTATTTTACTGCATGGGTCCACAACCGCGGACTGATCGTATTTGGAGGAAACAAGGCGCAGCTTATTACCTGGGCACTACCATCCCTACAGGGATGCAAAACACTCCCATAACATGATGCTGTGGGATGGTTTTCAGTAGCAGGACCTGGCAGATTAGTCAATATTGAGGGAAAGATATATTTTTTAAATAAATGTGCAAATCTATTATTTCAATAACTATTTAATTGTCAGAATTAATTCTTGTGTGTAGAATTTCAAGGTTAAAATTAATTTATTCCATTTTGAAATAAAGGCGTAACATAAAATGGCATGAAAGTAAATCACTGTGAATGCTCTTTGGTTGACCTTGGACTGTACAGTATCTGGTCAAATTCTGTTTGGTAATCCAAAGTCCTTTTCGGCCATCCTGACGTTTTGAGCAATCTGTTTAGAGATTTTTACTTATTTTTTGGTTCAAGTGTTTAAAGGTATTTTCAGAGGCTTGAAATGGAGCTCATCCAGTTTGAAACCGTTGACTTGTGTTTTGTCTTAATGGCTTTTGTGTTTGTTACATTGATTAGAGTATGGTGCTGTAACTGTTAAATTATTATTCAGAATTTTTTTTTGTTCCTTTCTGTACAGGATGCTCTCAGGAATGGGCTGGTGGCTACTGAAGTACTGATGTGGTTTTACATTGGCGAATGCATTGGAAAAGGAGGAATTATTGGCTATAATGTCTGAACTTTTGGACTGTCTATTTTCTTTTCCTCTTGAGCATTGTATGCTCTGCATCCTACAAAATATTAGGGAACAATAAACAGATGTGTATTATTACAAAAAACGTTTTCTTCACATTGTCTCTCTCATGCATTGTTGTAGTAACTCTGAGGTATTTGACTTTCCAACCTCCAAGTAGGCAGAGTAGTTGGTGAAATATCTTTTTCGATGCTTCCCAGATATGTTCATTTTTTTTATGTACAGTACCTGAGAAGTATTTTTGCTTATTTAAGTTGTAGGAACAGCAAATGAGTTGTAGTTGATCGATTAGTATCAGAAACTGCTTATATGAAAATTCACGCCTTTTAGATTTTGCTTATTATAACAAAGTACATTTTTGTATTATTAATGGTATATTGTCAGTTTGTACAAAAAGGTCAGATTTTGCTTGTCACATACAGAATGTGTAATACAATAGTATGATTCAGTAACAATCAGACCATGAATGCCTTCCAAAACAACAAAAAAAGTGGAATGGCAAAGAACACCGCCTCGCAGGAATTCCAGAATTCAAGATTTGGTTTCATTTCCGAACCAACCTGCTTCATCTTACCAGTCAAATGCTCAATAACGTTCATGTCTTATGACCGAGTCGGCCTACCCTGGAGCATCTCAACCGTTTTGGTTTACAGGAACTTCAAAGTGGAGGCTGAAGTATGAGAAAGTTCACATCGGGCACCCTCAGAACAAAAAAAAAAAAAAAATCAGTTCCTGTCATCATCCACTAGAGGAAGCTGATGGTACGTTTGCTAGACGACACACCTTATTTGGTCGACAACACTTGTCGTGTACTGTACTTATATAACTGTTGCCTTGAGGGTGGAAAAAACAATGAAACAAACTACCTTTTTTATTTCGCTCTTTATTCAAAACTATAAATCTTTCCAAAATATAAAATAAGACTGTTTTGTATAACAATTATCTTCAGGGTTTTCAATAAACAGTCGCCTATGTAAGTAAACATGCATAACGTTAAATAAAGGGTTAGTTGAACTGTGAAAAGGCAAATATGAGGGCATGCAATCATTTTTCCAGTTCTTTGAAATTATGGTCACAAAGAAAAATGCGACAATGCATCCAGTTATCTGTTTTGATTATAAGAACATTTGACACACCCTCTCACGCAAGATAAATATGAAATATCAGGATGTGACATGCACTGTAACTTGAGGTGAAGCATACCGCTTTTAAAGGCCTTTTTTTGACAGTGATCTTTGAAAGTGTTACAGTCATTTGATTTTGAAAATGTATAATAATACAGTATGTGACGGTTTACACATTTGGGTGGAAAACAGCTCTAAACAGTGTAACATTGTCAATGTTATGCAAAAATATATATTTAAAAAGCATCATACACGTAAAAAACATCAAAATTTAAATGTTGAGTCAAATATGTTCATTTGATGGTGCAGATTTTGACCGAGGTTCCAACTCCAAAGCCTGGGTAAAGGGGCTCAGTGAACGTGGTCTCAAACCTGTGCAGCAGCGTCATACTACTTCCAATGCTATAAAAAGCCAGCACGCCTGCGCTATGGTCCAAGTACACGCCTATCCTCGGAGAATGAGGGCCGCTGACGGCTTTATCAACTCTGTTGTGCCAGGCCGAGTAGCCGGTGTCGGAGCAGAGTAGACTCCAGGATTTATCGTTGTAGCCCAGCAGACACAAAGAGCCTTTGCCCTTCCGGCTGATGCCCCTATAGGCCGCTCCGATGGAGAACTCCCCACTCCACTCGATCTCCCAATAGAAGCGGCCGCCAGACAGACCCTCCCGGCACAGAACCTGGGCAAAACTGTCAAACCTGTCTGGGTTGTCCCCATATGGCTGCAGGTCCCTGGTTCGGATGACTTTTCTGCTGTGCTCAGAGATGTACAGCTCTTTGTAGGCTGTGATCGGATCCAACTTCAGCTGGCAGAAGTCTGCATCATGAGGAGCAATACACTTTTATTTTCTAACTGAAGTATGTGAAGTCAAATTTAATAGTGCTAAAGTGGACATATAATGCAAATGTTACTTTTTAATGGCTTGTATACAAATAATCTCCGTGGTGCCTGCCCAAGCATTCATTGTGAAACGAAACAACCAGGTACTGTAAATCTTTGATCTGTCCATTTTGCATTGTGAGCAAACTGTTCTGCATTACCACTTCAATGTTACGTAACAGTGGGGCTATTTTACATCATAATTGTCCCCATGAGTTTTTCCACCCATGACATGCTCTACAAAGGTGGCCAAAGATCCAGAGCCATTTTCAAGTGATGGTCAAGTGACTGAAACAGTATCATGCGGAGACACCCCATAGTCTCACACCCACAATGCTCCCATAACTCCAGTTGCAAGAATCAGGCTGCATCCCCCAAATGAACCCCCACCCCACCACAATAGTCAATGTAGCGAAAGACAGATTCACCATTGGCTCAGATGGACAAATATATCGGGTCGAGGTATACAATAGCCTACTTGCATATGAGAGGGCTGGCCCCTGAAAATGGGCTAATTTCAGCAAGACAAGAGTTTAGGGTGTGTAATATGTGTGGCTATTTTGACAAAAGCATTCCACAAATGTAACATGAGCATAATTTGTCTCCTTTAAAAAATTATTGTGAATACATACATTTGATAAAATCTGCTCTGCTCCTTGGCTCTGGGGTGGCGGGGTTGCTGTCCACTGTGGTCATATTGTGGTCTTTACCTGCAAATTAAACAGCAATTTTTAAAATCTGTCGGCTGTGTTGTTTGAACTCGTGCATTGACGGTCAGTACAGGAGTGGGTAATCTGGAGAACCAGGTGATTTCCTGTGGGCCCGGGGTGCTACATGTGATGCTTGAGCAGCTTTTCCAGCCTTCACATTAATTTCCTCCAGACCGAGGATAAATTTTGAAATCAGTAAATTAAGTGCATTTGTAACATTTACATGTACAGTTGCCTTGTTGCAGCTGTTGTGAAAGCACTATATGAATAAAGATGTATTCTATTGTATCGTACAAATGAAGTACTAACACATTAATTGCTATTGGTAGACCAATACATTATATAGAGCACTGGCTACAGATGTCACCGAGTCGCAATCATTTAAAACACAACAAGAAACGCCACTGTGACTCTATTATACCCTGCCTGTAAAAAATACCACATTAAAGAGGCATAACAATCACGGGTGTGACTTGGAAAGGTAACAAAGCACGTAGGAAAAACCTTTCTCTATTGAAGTGCGTGTTGCTCTGTGACGATCATCAAGTTGGTGTCAGTCCACTGAGCGGTGCACCGGAAGTGGAGCGATTAAGTTTTAAATGGGAGTGCGAACAGGAAACGCCATGTTAGCTGCGTAAATGTCGCTGTCTTAACATTGATAAATCTAGTATTCAGTGCCAGGTGTGTTATCCAATGTTAAGTGCACATTCCTATCGGTCTCATTTTTGTCTTTTTGTCCACTTCAACTATTTACTGTGTTCTCATATTTCTTCAAAGTCACACCGATCGTGATCTTGTAAGCACATTGAGTTGTGATTTTGATCAAATACAATATGAATATTTTTGGAGAGAATGGTTTTACATTGATACACTAATGAGGGTAAAATTGTAGATTTAGATTAAAACATCGTGACCATATGTGGGCCGGCCTTGAGCCGTGAAACTTCAGAGCGGAAAATGAGCCCCACTCTGGTCCGGTTTATTCTAAATATTTTTGCTCATCAGCCTACCTCTGCTTCTTCTGTCCAGTGTTCGACTTTCCGTAGTGTACACCGGAACATCATTCACTGTAAGACACAGTATACATTTATTAAAATATTTTTGGCGCTTTTCTGGTGCACTTTTATTTGCGAAAATCAGACAAACCTGTTTTGGAGATCTTCAGCAGCTCTTCCCTGCCAAATTCTTCCAGCCGTTCCTTGATCTCGGCTACAGCTTTCCTGACGGCCCCAAAGGAGAAGTCGGGGTTCACGGTCACCTTTGGTATGAAGCCATCATCAGTGGGGGTGCACAGGTAGTTGAAGTTCTGAGGGAAGCAAGTTTTGACAAATAATTCATGTAAATAATATGCCCCGTGCAAAAATACATTCAGGATCACAGTACTTTATTTGTATGTAAAAATGGAAAAACAGTTCATTTATTGTCAACTCACATCAATCATAAACCATAGTTTAGCTGTTTTGGATTGTCATAATTTGGTGTGTTATTATGTGTTATTATTGTGTTTGTGAATTTTTATACATTAAAAAAAAAAGTCATGTCAGGATCAAGTCCTGCCGTGTTTCTGAAGTAGGATACCTGCAAAAAGTGGATGTGGTCGTCCGTAGAATAAAGCTGCTTCAAGCCTGACTTCTTTTTCTTCAGTTCGTCAATCTCCTGTTCCAGACGCTCGACCAAAGCTTCGGCTTGGTTGAATGCGGCCTTCTCATTGATCCCAATCAGTTTGGTCACCTCTGACCTCATCCTCTCGATGGAACGAATCATGTCCTCAAACATCTTCTGACTCTCCACCATGGCTCGCTGGGCCGAGTTCTGCACGAAAAAGCGACGGATGCGTTTTACTGGAGGTACGACTACTCTATCTTGAGCAGTGTGTTATTTGTGCAGGCAAATGAGATGTAACTTGAAGGTTATGTGATGAGAGAGGACCCCCTCGAGGCTAAGCGCAATTCATTGCTAGTCCACTTTCAATTTGTCTTGTTGTTTTTACCAAACCGTTTTCACGATGAGAAATAAAGGAGGAATAATAACAACGGGTTCTGGGACCGTTGCCATCCTAAAGCCTGAGTTTCTAATGCTTGACCTTACCTTTAATGAATCCACCGCCGTCTTCAACTCCTCCAGCTCCTTTACGCGCTCTTGACATTTTTGTCTAATCTCAGCTGTGGAGATTCCCAAGAGTTTCTGGAACAAATGATTTCTTAGTATCGTACTAATCAGCGCATTTCAGAAAATCTCAAAGCTACAGTTCAATGTCATGCTGGCTCGATTATTGTTGTTGAGAAAATACAGGGGTCATATTTGAAAGCTCAGTACAGACAGCCAACTCAGCATGTCTCATAAACCTTATTCAAAGAGGCTTCTCAATATGGGGCAGGTTTGATCTCAGATTTGGGGGGGGGGGGGTCTGTAATGGAATTCTGGCCATGTCAGGAATGTGAAACCACCGCTGACTTTTTCAAGAGATGTTTCAAGGTGACCGCCATACTGGCCTGCAGAATAGAGAGGGCTTTTCGAATTCAGCTTTATTCTCAAACTCACCAAGCCATTCTTCAAGATAAGCTGGTGGAATGTGGGGAATCTGGCAGGGGGAGAGTGTGAGAGGGGGGAGGAGAGACAGGAGGAGATGGTGTGAGATTTGTGAAACCGTGATTGTAAATGTCCTGATTAGAGATACTAGACTTTCTTGTGAGGAAATGGAAGGCAAGGAGGAGGGGTGGGGGGGGGGGCATAAAATACAATAAACAATGTCGATTCATACACAACACAGTCTGCTGACCGTCTGTGTTTCCTCACAGCACTTGAGCGCCTCGATTGTGTTTGGCTTTGATTCACGATCCCGAGCGGCTGAAAGCCTTGACTCCCTGACATTCCAGTATCACTCCGAGCCTCCTCCCACAGGTGGGAAATGGCACAGGAAAACAAGTTTCTGTGTAACCATCCCACAGATGGAACACTACATTCACTGAAAATCAACTTTCGGTAGTGATAAGCGAGACACTCCCCCAAACACTCCACGCAACTAATCAGAGAGCCGCGTTGGTTTTGGCGGTGAATGCCCGCCAAGTTAGGTGATACCATTGGAAAAATAGGGCAAAGTACGTGTGACGGTTTTCCTGAAGGTTGGGGAAAAAACAAACAGATAATTTTCAGTGAGCCAACATGCCCTGTCGAATGGTTCTTGTCTAATCATACAACAGTGACACTGTGACACGAGTACACACTTTAGTTCTCTGAGGGTTTTTGTAAAGTGATCTAACAGGTAGCTGTCGTATTTGTGTTGTCGAACAACAAAGTAAAGCATTTTCACCGACGATCCTACCTGTTTCTCACTCCTCTCGGCCTCAGCAGAGACGATGTCGTGGCCTTTGTGTTCACTGACTGTGCAGATGGCACAGATGCACATTTGGTCGGTTCGACAGAAGAGCTCCAAAGACTTCTGGTGCTGCGGGCAAATCTTCCTGTCCAAGTTTCCCAACTCGTCTACCAACTTGTGCCTTTTGAATGTGGCTGACTCATAGTGTGGCTTCAGGTGTTTCTCACAGTAGGATGCCAAACAGTTCAGGCAGGACTTGATGGCTTTGAGTTTCTTTCCGGAGCAGAAGTCACAAGGGACGTCGCTTGGCCCGGCATAGCCGTTCCCTTGGGGCATGTGGACGTTCAGGTTCAGACCACTCTTCTTGATCTTCTCAGCCACCATGCTGAGGGTGGCGTTGGGTCGCAGCACGGGCCTCTGGGTGAAGGTGATCTTGCACTGAGGGCAAATGTATATCCCCGTGTAGTCCGCCTCATTCCAGTAGCCGCTGATGCAGTCCATACAGAAACTGTGGCCGCAAGGAATAGCGACAGGGTCCCTCAGGAGGTTCACGCACAGGGTACAACTAAAGTAGTCTGGAGACGTGTGGTCAGCCATTGTGGTGGGCGCACGGAACGCTTTCAGTCCTGAGGAAGTGGAGAGAAAATGCCGGGAGCAAAGAGCGCTGAGCCGAGTCTGCGTGGGAGCCCGCCCTCCTGAGTGTGGTACAGCCTGCCAGAGACAGGACCTACTTGTATTTCTGAATTCCAGAGGTTATTGATTGAAAGCAGACAAGGCCCGCCTCCTGCGCCGTGTGAGTGTATGCAGCCCTGCCCTGTTCAGATAAGCAGGTTGAGCAAGGGAGGAGAGAAAGAAAGCAGGAGGGAGGGAGAGCGAACCTTGTAGGCCGGAAAGAGAGGAAACGAAAAGGCTGAAAGAGAGAATGAGTGAAATGTGTAAAGTTCAAAACGAGAAAAGAAATATGCTCGAAAACGCCTTCATTTCCCCTCCACAGCTTAATTCCAATTCCTCCTGTGGCTCATCTGGGGATGAATTGCGCGCACTTCTCAATAGCTGTATTTCCACCTATTGTTGTCGGACAGAATCGCCATTGTCTTAAACCGGTTACAGTCCAACAAACACAAACGGAGGGTTAGGTACCGCTGGAATTTAAGGGACCACCCAATATACAAACACGGATGTCGCAAGCTTGTAGATTTTCAGGAAAACATCCTTTTCCCGCGCCTTTGATCCGAGTTATACTTCTTACATTGTAACCAGTTGGGACGTTCAAATGCACCCCTAGAGGTCAATATGTAACCGCAGATATGGAGATTGCATCTGTTTGTTCAGCAGAAGGAGCCAGCCGCAGATGCAGCCGTGCGCGAACGGAACATTCCTGTGAGCTGCAGGTGTGTGTAGATGTTTGACATACTTGAGTGTTACATCACGCGGAAAGCTGCCGACTCCACTGTTCAAATTAGCCACAAGAGGCAAGTGCACGCTGACATCACACACCCCTCATTAGCGTTTCTATCAGGCCTGGGCGATGGGTTACACACGACTGTAGTCATTCTAATATTTATTTTTTTATTTTTTTGAATGGACACTGGAAAAAAAAAAAGATTACTTTCCACAACGGAACTGGAAACAACATCAACGAAACACATTTTAAATCAATTAAAAGTGCAGTATCCGCTCTTCGTTCAGTATCCTGCATGACTTCATGCATATTACTTCACCATATTAGGTCAGGTTGTGATAAGGCAGTTTTTTTCCCCCCTTTCCTTCCTCCAGAGTAGAGGGTGCAACCTGTGATTACAGATTAACTACCTCGAGCTGTTGCGGAGGGGAAAACACTTAACACACTTCTGATATCGAAAAAGGGAAGACTACGCAGTCACACTGTCGTTGTTGTACTCGATGAAACTTGATCATGTTTGGGATACAGGGCAGTTTTAATTTGTTTTAATGACAGGACCGTGGAAAGAGTCAACCGCTTGTTGTGAACTGAGGAGGTCTGTTTTGAGCAAACAGATACTCCACAGTCATCCGTCGTTAAACCGAGTTCAAGGTGAAAGGTCAGCATCGCTTACGATAGAGGCGGGCATGCACTCGGCGGGGTAAAGCGCAGGCAAGCACACATGGCTATTTTATGGAAGGAAACAAAGTGCGAGTTCACTGAGGGTGTGTAATAAAAACAGGAAGACACCATTCTAAATATATGATGCCACAAAAACACAAAAGTGATTTTTGGTATAGGTACCCAAAGTGAAGACGGACAAATGTGACTGCCAATTTCCAAATGTGCACAACGTTGGAAACTAAAGTTTGAGTCTGACTTACAAAAATAAGAACCCCCCCCCAACCCCCCACTTTTAATTCCACAAGATAACACTGGAATAATTCAACAACAATTCGCTGCATTAATGTTATGACAGTTGAGTAGCATGTCAAGCTACACCTTTAGGAAAACAATTATTTTAATGCACCACCAACGTCACTCAACCTTTGCGTGTGTTTCTCAGAAACTAAAACATGAGAGGAAATGTATTTTGTTGTTTTTTTAATCATCAATTACAATTTTAATAAAATCTATTCAGTAATAATATCCAATGAATGTAAGAGAACAACAAAAGTGGCTGGTATCAGCTATTTTTGTGGGAATTTTGACCACTGTTATAAGTACTACTACTACTACGAATAATAATAACATAAATAACAATAAGAACACTTTTTTCTTCTGACAGTTTTGTAAAATAAGTCTTTTCTAGTCATAAAAGAATTTAATTGTTTTTTTCTCCAAACATTAGGGTCTCTTGTCACATGACATATTTCATCTCCTACCTTTGCAGATTTTGCTTTCATTTTCCTAATAGTGATGTAGCCCGAATACTTTTATGCACAGACACATCCTTCGCTTCAGATCGGCAAACAAACTATTCGTCAGTTATGTTGAACAAAAATTATTTTAATCGAACTAACCCTCTAAACAGACATCCTATGGAATGACTAGAATGAAGTGCAGTAATCATTGGCCAATAGATTCCTCTTCACCATAAAAACGTTGGGGTTTTTTTTTGTCGTTTTATGGAAGCAAAGTCCATTTACTGTCCAAACCAAGGTCATTTATGTTGGCAGAACAAAGTACAGACAAGTTTTCATAATCAAAACCTCCTCAGTGTCAATTTACAGCCAACGAGATTTGTTGAAACTCGAAAGAATGCGGCTCTATGGAATTTAAACGAACGTTTATTTTCACAGGATTTGCATTTCAGTTTCATCAATCATATGAACTCATGTGCCGCTGTGAAAAACCATGCAATATTTCTAACCAGGCAAATTTTAATGAGTCATAAGAAAAATAATCAGAATCACGACAATCATTCGTTCTTCAAAATTGATACATGAAGTCTTGTTACAATTAAAAGGGGCATCATCGATTATTGATGTTTGTTGTGATTGATTGGCTTACTTTGCATCATTTCGATACACTGTTCTCCTTTTCCTTTTGCTCGAGCATATCAGCTGTTGTTGGTGGGCAACAGACCTGTTCGTAGCCCACTCTGCAGGGGCCCATCTTGGCTCTTTAACAATGGAATCTGTTTGCCCCGGCTGTTATCTGGGCTATCAAGTGTAGTCGCATTCCACTCCATTCCAACAACCCTGAAACTCCATCTTAGTTGTGATTGTATGTGTGTACGTGTATGTGTGTTCACTGTAAAATGAAACATTCATCTGAAGGTATTTTGTTTCACCCAGAGGAAAAAAATCAAAAAAAAAACCCCAAAACATTCTTCTCTGTCAAAAAGAGTCTCTGCAGCAATGTAATCTCATTACTAACCCACGGAACCCGTATGTTCAACCTCACTAGAAATGAGTGTTTTAAATTAATGCTAAAAAGTTACATTGATGAGTAACTTGGAGAGGTCGTGGTTGAAATATAACTGGTCCAGCATTAAAGCAAGCCAAATGAATCTAATCAAAGCAATTAACCGCGCATCACTGCAGGAACGCAATCCCTCCGGATTTCATTGATGAGACATGACGGCCGATCGTCATAAAAAAGAGGCGTGCAAACAATCTGTTCGTGGTGCACTATGACTTCAAGAGCTATCATTACATGATAACTGTGACACGCCTGTATTGTTTCAGATACGCCTCATTGTTCTTATTCTTCATTCAAATGCAAATCGGCGGTGCAAAGTTCATTCGGTCCCATCTAAATTCTGTTTTGAATTTCTTTTTATTTGGAGTGTCTACAGGCAATCCCATTCAAAAGAAATGATGAAACTACTCAATGCCCACGTCATCTCACATTTTATTCATTCTCGAACTGATGAAGACGTTTTGCTGTGCCCTTGCCTTGCCCCGCCCTTGTTTTACTGGTTTCGGCTTAACCAGTTTAGCCTCTCCCTCTGTTTACTCCATATAACTTTACGACAGTAGTCGGGCTGGGATCATTTTGCTGCTGTGCTGACACAATCCATTGAGTGTCACAGCATTGAGTGAAAAGGACCGAAGCAGTTGCACACCATGGCGTCCGAGCAAGATAACTGCCACCTGTGTAAGGAATACCTCAGGGATGCCGTGTCAATTCCATGCGGGCATATTTTCTGCTCCATTTGTCTGAAGACATACTGGGACCACGCAGACCATACGGGCACATACCTGTGTCCTCAGTGCCGGGTTACCTACAACAAGAGGCCTACGCCGAGACGCATCGGAGGTTCTCGGCATTCGACCATGCAACGCAACTCGGACGGCTTCCCGCCGCCACCACCGTCCCCTGACTACAACGTAGCCGGCCCGCAGGACGTGGGCTGCGACATCTGCGTCGGCAAGAAGAACAAAGCCATCAAGACCTGCTTGATGTGCCTGGCATCCTACTGCGAGAGGCACCTCAAGCCCCATTACGAGTCAGCTACTTTTAAACGGCACAAACTGGTGGACGAAATCGGCCATCTGGACCGGCAGATCTGTCCCCAGCATCAGAAAGGTCTGGAGCTGTTCTGTCGCACTGACCAAATGTGTATCTGCGTGCTGTGTACGGTGAAGGAACACAAAGGGCACGACATGGTGTCTGCCGAGCAGGAGAGGGCGGAAGAACAGGTAAGCAGTTAAGTGACATTGTACAATACTACAATCCAAGGGTAGGGAACTCCGGTTCCTCGACAGCCATATCCTGCCTGTTTTAGAGTTGTCCCTATTCCAACACACCTGATTCAATTGATGATGATTGTGCCGGGCTTCTACAGAGTTAGCTGATGAGCTGATCGTTTGAATCAGGTGTGTTGAAGTAGAGAGAGATCAAAAACAGGTGCAATATGGCTCTTGACGAACCGGAGTTCCCTACCCCTGCTATAATCAAACAAAGTGGGGTAAAAAAAAAAAATCAAAATGTCAGAATTTTTTGTAAATTTTGCTAATTTCCTGACGGTTTGTGACAAGTTAATCCAATCATTGTCGCCTCCACAGCAACGCTTAGGTGCCACCCAGGCTGAGATCCAGGAGAGGATTCATGATCGACTGAAACAGATGGAGGAACTGAAACAAGCAGTTGATGCACTCAAGGTTCGGAACAGTCATTCATCAGGATGAGTAAACCAGGCAAACCACTTGCAGATTGAATAGGATGTTGAATCAACTTCCTACACGTTTGTCATTCCTTCATGTTGGGAAAGCTTTGTTCAGGATACTTGTAAAAAAAATGTTGACACCCGCTTGATTTATGGCCTGCCCCTCTGTTTCCTGCGCAGAACTCAGCGCATAGAGCAATGCAGGAATGCGAGAAGATGTTTAGCGATATGATCCGCTCCATTGAGAGAATGCAGCAAGAGATGGCCAAAATGATCTCCACCAATAAGCGAGCGGCACTCAACAATGCGGAGGGTCACATGGAGCGTCTGACCCACGAGATCACCGACCTGAAGAGGAGAGACAATGAGATCACTCAGCTGTCGCGCACTGAGGACCACATCCACTTCATTCAGGTAACGCGGCGACTGAACAACAACAATATGATTTGGTGCACTTTATTTGATTTTTTTTTTTTTTTCACTGAAATGCGACAGTGTACCCTTACTTCTCCATTTTTTTTCCTTTCGTTATCAGAGCTACCACATGCTGATAGCCCAGACCGAGGCTGAGGAGCTGCCCACAGTGACCGTGAACCCTTACTTCACCTTCGATCCAGTTACTAAGGCCGTGTCTGAGACGAAACAGCACATGAACGAATTTGGCAATGATGAACTGGTTAAAGTAGCCAAGACAGGTGAGAATGAGTCACTTATTGTGATTATTATGTGGCTTTATTATGCAATCTATTGCTATTCTTTGACAATGCCAACACATATTTGTGTTTACAGTGAACAAAATGACCTTTTGTCAACTGGAGGATGGTAAAAAGAAACGTGCATATAGGCGACTGAACAACAACAATATGATTTGGTGCCCTTTTTTTGTTTTTTTTTTTTTTTTTCACTGAAATGCGACAGTGTACCCTTACTTCTCCATTTTTTTTCCTTTCGTTATCAGAGCTACCACATGCTGATAGCCCAGACCGAGGCTGAGGAGCTGCCCACAGTGACCGTGAACCCTTACTTCACCTTCGATCCAGTTACTAAGGCCGTGTCTGAGACGAAACAGCACATGAACGAATTTGGCAATGATGAACTGGTTAAAGTAGCCAAGACAGGTGAGAATGAGTCACTTATTGTGATTATTATGTGGCTTTATTATGCAATCTATTGCTATTCTTTGACAATGCCAACACATATTTGTGTTTACAGTGAACAAAATGACCTTTTGTCAACTGGAGGATGGTAAAAAGAAACGTGCATATAAAGGTGAGTTAGGTGAAAACCTAATTTTGAAATCTTTTTTTTCTGTGGGCAGTCAAACTGAGTGCAAATTTTGGCATACACCATCCAAAAACGGAGATCCAGTTCATCCAAATTTCTCAACAGTTCACCCATTGAAAATCATGCATTTACAACTAATCCTAACTCAGGGTCAAATTATTGCCGTCATAAAATTTTATTACTTACATTTTAAAACAACAAACTATGTTGTCACACTTAACTGCAATTGGGCTTGGCAGATGCAGAAATGTCTTCACATTATGACTGTGATTATGGAAAAAATAATAATCACGATATTTAGATTGATATTTAAATCAGGATTAATAAAAAATATTATTCATTGATCTCATAACGTAAAATTTCAAAAAACTACAGCAAAGCTCAACTATTCAAAACAATCATACTCATTCACATACAATCCTGCATCTTGAACACTTTATTCTTGAATACTGTGTTGTCTTTGTCAAGTAAAAAATAAAATAGTAAATGTCATGTCAATTTCAAGTCTCCTGCATTTTCATTCTGATATAGCCTTGAATCCTTGAAAATTTCACTTTGAATAGAACTTGAAAAAAAAAACAACCACTAACAAAGTAAAAAAAAAAACTATACATAGAAAAAAAAACAAATTAAAATAAATACTGTGTTCTTGCTGAGCAGTGCCTAGAATACACTTTTGAGACAAGAAGGGTCGAAGAAGACAGTTGCGACTAATTAGTATGAAATAATTTTAACACGTTTTTCAAAGATTGGGAAGAATGTGTGCCTTTGAGCATTGCTGTTTTACCTGTGTAGCGTTTGTGTATGAATATTCATTATTTGAAAGAATATCACTCTCAGAGCTTGATACTAATTTCCCGTTAGCACGTCAATGTTATTTTACATTGAATTTAGCATTAGCAAAGACGATGTTTTAAAAAACGAAACATGTCTTGTATTTAAATATATAAGGCGTGTAATTATTTTTCTTGAGTTTTTGTTTTATATTAAACTCTAACTGGGGTGTCATTAAAGAGTTTAAAGCACAAGAAGGGCAGAATCACATAACGTCACACGCTTGCCATGCAAGTTACTATCGTCCATTCACGGTACTTTGACAACGTCTGGAACTTGCCAATACACTGCACCGCTTGGCACAATAATCTTTTTTTTTTCTTTCATGACGATAATCCAATCAATTACCCAGCCCTACTTCACATTCTAAACATGGCTGACTTTACAACATGCACTCTGTTATATACTTTTCGTTTTATCCTGAGTGACATCTCAGCTCTGTATTGTGCAGGCAGGACAAAGTCATCAAAGGGATGTGTTTCAATTTGAAATGAACGCATTGGGTGACTTTTGCATCACTTGGCTTGAAAAAGTCAAGAGTTGTCTGTCTTCTACAAAGTTTTGCACAGTTCAGTCGAATATGTTCCCACTGCTGTTGTATTTTATTCATGTGGTGTAATTTGACGTCACTTGGTAGCCACTTGTTCAAATGTTTACCTTGATTGTAATGTGACTTGAGTTTACATGAACACACCCATTGTCCTTTGAATCCAGCCGTTGTTTGCCTTGACCCTGTAAATACCATGAAGTTACGGTTTACTTTGCACAGTACCGACATCAAGTTTTGCTTATCTGCTTTAACAGCACTTTTTTTACACAACATGTTCTAATCAGGATGTTTTTGTTGTTTTTGCTTCCACTGCAGATGACGCTCCCATGTACAGATCTGTGCAAGTGCAGGAACCACAGCACAGGGACGACTTCCTGAAATGTGAGTGTCAGCTGATTTCGCTTCCGTTGATTCCTGTATTCTCTTCTCGCTCGTTTCAGCGCTTAAGTTGCATTTGGTGCTCATCAGCTCCTCTGTCAGACCCTGTCGCTGACCACAAATCCAACACGTTTTTTTCTGGACATACTGTTCTTTATTTGTCCCACCTTGTAACGGAGAAAGTGACACTGAGTTGCTGTAAAAAGATTAGGGTTAAAAAAAGCTATCTTTGATAAGAACCAAAAATACTTTTTTTTTTTTTTAATAAATCAGGAATGCTTGTAGCTTGTATGAATCCAATCCTTGGCTTTACAATGCAATATGCTAGTTATGTTACAGCAGGTTTCTGTTTGTGGTCAAACTTACAAGCAGTGTTGATACCTCTGGCATTCCAGATAATAAACCGGGCAGAACTAGCAGGGGCCGCCGGGTGTCCCACCAACTGTGATCTGGAGAGGGAGAGGGAGAGAGAGAGAGAGAGACATAGCAGGCAGGTGACATCTAACCCCTGCAATGATTCTCACCTGTTTGATGTGTAAAGCCAGAGGGTCTCACACTTTTCCGCTTCAATCCACATTCCCATCTTACCTTTGAGCCTTTTCCACAGCGACTCCTTTCTTCTGCACAGAACTATCCGAGTCTAAGAACATGCTTTATTCAAACTTACTTTTAATCAGTAGTGTGGTGTGTTGTGCATTTTTAAATCATTGTGAAGTACCTTGAAAAGTGCTTCACAAATAACAGACAAAACATTACAGAATACATTATTCACATATAAGTTACTAATACAATAACAAGAGTGGTGATATGAATTATGTTATTACTGGGCACACGCAAACACTTGTCAACGTATTTTTCTTACTTTTTTAAAATCTAAGATGCAAGTAAACTCTGGATGAATTCTTTGCACTGATTCCAAATTTTGCCTCGTTTTTCTCAAGCACATCAAGTGTTCTTAATACTAATAATAACAATAAGTAAGACGGTACTGAATTTTGGAATATTTATGAATTAAGATTTGAGCAGCAGGTGAATTTTTTTTCCTGAATCGTCATGCTATAATTTACAACACATATTAAAATATGTATTGAACAAGCTTTATTGGTCAGACTTAAAAACAAAAAAATGAAAATATGTCAAAAACCTGATGTGCTAGTTAGACAAAGAGAAAACCCCCACAATTTTTAAAAATCTGTGTCAAAAATACATTCAGTTTTTGTATTGGTATTAGTATTACTATTAGCAGTAGTATAGTAGTACAGTCGACCCTCCCATACTCATCATTTGGCACCCCCGGATTCACATTTTCACATATTTTTTTTTCCAATCCATTTTTTAAAATTATTTAAAAAAATTTTCCTATTTGTTTTTTTCATTTTGTGGAGGATCCCCCCCACCCCCATTTTGGTGGAAAACATATACTGAATGATTATCAATGTTATGTGAAGAATTTGGGGGTTTGTAAAAAAAAAAAAAATCTAAAATTCGGATGCATTTCAATTTGCGTCAGTTACATGCAGATTTTGAGAATTTGTGGGCCGGCACAGTCCTTATACAGTTTCAGAAAAAAAATTCCACCTGTTGTTGAGCCCAATTCCTAATTGAAAAAATGTGACAAAAATATTTGACTGTACGGTATAGTCAAATATTTTGTGGTATAGTCTATAGCACATTTTATATTATTGTTATGATGGGTATGAAAATGAGGGAATGGTTGGAATCAGCACAAAATTTATCGGAAAGTTTCTTTGCATCGCTAATAACATTTTTGGGTAAAATTCAGTGACCAGTGTAATCAAGCATATAGTGTTGCTTGTTCAGTGAGGGATTACGTTTCCTGTGTAGGTGAAAGAATCCAACTGTTGTGCTCAAATTTGGGACTTGAAGCTGCTGCTGCAGTGGTGATGGGACATGTGAAGAATAAGCTTTTCTCATCTTGCGTTTTACCATTTCCGTTTTTTTTTTACGTGATGTTATGTAATCTTCTAAAATCCATACCTTGTGTATCTTCTTAGATGCATGCCAGCTTACTCTGGATCCAAACACGGCGTACCGACAGCTCCACCTTTCCCGAGGGAACAGGAAAGCTAGCCTCAGGAGAGAACCCCAATCCTATGGAGACAATTCCGCTAGATTTGACTCTTTGCCCCAGGTCCTGTGCATGGAGGCCCTCTCAGGTGGCGCCTACTACTGGGAGGTCGACTGGAGTGGGGAGGGGGCTGCCATGGGTGTCACCTACAAAGGCATCAAGAGGTCCGGTTACGGGGATAGCTGTCGCATCGGCTACAACCGCAAGTCTTGGAGCCTCTTTTGCTCTGACTCCAGCTACTCTGCACGCCACAACAAGGACCAGATCGAGGTCAACGCACCATACTCTTCTCGAATTGGGGTCTTCCTGGACCACGGTGGGGGAACTCTGTCTTTTTACTCTCTTGGGGAAACAATGTCTCTCATTCACCGCTTTAAGGCTTCATTCGGTGAGGCTGTCTACCCAGGCTTCTGGGTTTGGTACGAGTCAGCCATCACACTCATCCAGCTCTGATTAGAACACACATCTATGTACAGTAGTCAGTTCTCTGTTGTAAGACAAATATGATTTAATTACATCAAGCACGTTGAAAGTTATACATATATTTGGGTAGTTGGGGAGACTATATTGTTGATGACTATGAATATTCTACAAATTTGTGAATTTGTGCAATCAGATGAACCAAGTCAGGGAGTGTACTGTATAAATCTGCATTTAAACGAGTATAAATTGTACTGATTGAAAGATCTGATGTGATTTGTAAAGGCCATTTTTACAACATTTATTTTTTATCAATAAACATTTTATGAAGGTGTGTGGTGTTGAGTGGTCTGTGCTGTTTTTTTTTTTGTATATTTTTTTTCATGACAAACTTCCAAAAAGCCAGACATCTGATCTTGAAAAGGGAATACTGTAAATGTTCTTTTAATCAGGGTCATCTTTTATCAGAAGAAATATGACAGCCCCCTAGTTTCTCACACTAGAAACTAGAGACGCATGTCAAACTCAATCACTCAAGCTTCCAGATGCCGAAATTTAACACCTAAATCCAGTCTGTGGGCAGACTGGATTAAATAGTTTATTTGCGATAATACTTAAAGCAAAAACTTTGAATATGAACAGTCTGCAAAAAAATTGGATTGCCTTAATTCCATACTGTTCATGTTTCTCTTTTCTGACAAGATGAGAAATAAAAGCCTTTTTTCTGTAATATTTTGCTAGATTTGAAAAGCGCCTTTGTGTTTTGCATAACTCAATTTTATTATTTTTCATTCCGATGAGCGCATGTACGCACTTAAGAAACATCACAATATATTGCACTCTTTGGCGACGAGAGCACCTTATTTTTTGTAAATGCCATTCGAGTTTTTACACTCCGTCCTTTGACCTGCCGGTGTTTACTATAAACTATAAACTATAAATATTGTCCACCTCTGGTGGACAAACGTTCAATGCTGCCTTTATTCGAGCTTTTTTTTGCGACCCTCTGTATTTATTGAGCCATCTCAGATCTATCCTAAATTTAATATTAAACCTTCAACCTTTGCATGCCAATAACGTGTTATTTTAAATTATATAATACTTTTAGGGCCGCTCTACTATATGTTTCCGTAGTGTAGTGGTTATCACGTTCGCCTAACACGCGAAAGGTCCCCGGTTCGAGACCGGGCGGAAACAGCTTTTATTTTTCTTCTTTTTTTTTGGGTGCGATTTCTACAACCGGCAAAGTCCACAACATAATCCACAGTGGAGTGGAAAAAAACACGTTAATGAGAGGGTTTGAGCTCAATAAGTCTTAATATACAGTATTGTTCACAAGATGTCTTCGTGTTGGTTGAGGGCAGCCAACTTCCTGTTTCACATGAAAACCGACACTTGTTTCTCTCCGGACTCGTTTAGCCAGCGCACCTCACAGAAAAAAGCGCCGTATTCTCACGTTTTGACAACTGCGACCGTGCGGGTGAGCTTGCGTTCATATTATAAACGTTCGGAATTGTATTAGTTTTCCATATTGACACGTCCATGTGCGTTTTAGCAAGAAAACTCTGTCCACCAGCGCACCTTAATTTGCACGTAACCGCTCTACACGATTATAAACAAATGAATGAAGCTAACTTGGCTAGTTCGCTAACATAACCAACGTGCGTTCCGTCTTATCCATGCCAGAGTTGTTGAGAAAGCAGTTAACTGTTAATATTTTGCTCACGAGTAGATCAATATAAAACTTAAACACACATGCATAATCCTGTCGGTAGACGTATCGTGTACAGCCAGTCAGAGCGTGATGTTTAATGCTATTGCTTTCCCCCTCTAGTGTTGGGACTTTCAATGTAACAGTCGCTATGACAACCAGAGTGAACAAAGGAAAGATTTGAACACTCGACACGAAGCGTGGACCTTATTTATGCTCAAGTTAGAAGAATTGCTAATGTTTAATGAACTAGGAATATTTGACATTCATATGTACAAGTGAGCGTAGAGCTGAACAGACATCAGATCGTTTCGGTAGCATACGTCAAAACACGCTTGACAAAGAATCCATGTCACTCGCCGTTGTGCAATTTTTCTCTATGGATGCATTTATTGCTGTTGTATTGGTGTGTTGCTGATGCTTTGGTTACTTTAGCCGTATTAGAACACTTCTCACTACTCCCCACTGGATTAAAAGAACACTAATATACGTATACTAAAATGAATACTCCCAATACACAAAAAGGAAAAAAAAAAAAAAGACATTTTCTTTGTGAAGGCAGAGGCAGACATTTTTATTCAGCCACGATCTTCAATCCAGAGATGAAAGTCCTCCGAATTTTCCCGGAATTCCGGGTTTTTCAAAATTTTATGAAAATTTCTCCAGAGAATAGAGGAAAATTTGCATAAAATTAATCCGGATATTAGTTGACAACATTGAACAACAAGGGTTAAAAAAACATTCGTTGTATTGCTTTCACGAGCGTAGCCGTATTGAGGCACTAACACTAGTAACAGTAAAGAGATTTTTATTTGTGTAAAACGACAGAAGACATGACGGTGTTTGACTAATGGTTTAGTAGAACGAATGGCAACTCGCAACAACAATAGCAAGCGTCATTTTGCCTCTTGGGTTATACCATCTCAACTAGAACGTGGGGGATAGTCCCTAAACAATTTTCGTCTCTTTATAAACACACCTGCTCAACCCCAGTGGAACGAATAAAAGACGCCGTGGACAAGACAGTTGTCGTAAAAAATATATTTGGCCAAAAAGGGAAAAACACAGATTGGCAGAAAATTGTGTCCGTCCGACTTCGAGTGTCGTCTCGGCTAACTTAGCTTAGCTGTTGTCTTGTGTGACGTCATTTGCGTC